TCTTTTATGCATTGAAAAACATTATTCTAATAAGAGTTCCATGGACTTCACCAGGCTGCCAAAGGGGTCCATGACACTAAAAAGATTAAGACTCCCTAGTGTAGAGAAAGAAGCTAACTAGTAACAGAACACCCACCTTAAAGGACTGGGAGAGGATTAGTAGTTTAGAGAAGAGAGCAGGAAACAGTGGTGCCTCTCCTATCTGAAGTTAGGAATGGAGAGTATCTAGTAAAAAGAGGTGATCAGCAGTATCATATGCTGCAGATAGGTCAAGCAGTATGTGGACTGAGGAAAGGCCATTTCTGACCTGTTATGGGAATCATGTTCAGAATGCATGAGGGTAAGGACAGAGTAGGTGGTGACAAAGTGGAGACATTGACTGTAGACAACTTTTCCTAGAAGTTTGAATGGGTGAAAAAGAGATGTGATGGTATCAGCATGGGATAGAAGAAGTAAGAGAAGGCTTTTTTGTTGTTACATTTGGGAAAAATTGAGTGTGTTTATATGTCAGAAGAAATGAATGGAGAGGGAAAGATTGAAGATCCATGAGAAGAGATAATCATTGGAGCAAGATCCTGGAAGAAACAAGAATATGGGATAGAATCAACCTTAACTCCAAAGTAGGTATAGCTTATCCTCTGAGATAAGAGGAGAAAAGAATAGATAAGAAACTTTGAGCTATGGAAAAGGGAATAGAAGAGAACTCTCATCTGTTGGCTTTAATGTCCTTTTTGAAGTAAGAGGTTAAGCCATTTACTGTTTAGGTGGGGTAGGGATCTACTCAAGTATTTGTGGCTTGAGCAGAACAAGTTTAGAGTAGTTACTATGAAATAAGATAAGGAGTTAAGAAGAGTAGAATATAGAAAGATTGTCAAATAGTAACGGGTGCTGGAGTTACATACTATAAATTTGTTACAGGCAACATTACTTTCCTTTCTTGACTTGCTGGACATCAGAGTGAAGTGGGCTTAGTTTGGTAGGGTGAGAAAGATGAAAAATCTTTTGAAAGGTAATCTTTTTAGGTCATTTATACTTTTTGTGGTAAACAATATTGTTTTTTCTAAAATTAGTGAAACCTTTGGGAGTGTCCTTATTTCTTAGATTTAGAAGTACCTTTTTAATGGGAAATTTATGAAGGAGTTTTTGAGTTCTGGGTTTTGCTGTTTAATGCTTTAAATAAGTCTTAACTGTAATTGGTTTTTGTAACAGCAAGTACCAAGAACCAGAAAATTAAATTTATCAACATCATGTATTTCAGTTCCTACTATGTGCAAAATACATAGAAGCTCTTGATTGTTTAAACGAAATACTGCAGTCTAGGGGCCATTTATCCAAGGCATTAGTTCAGAAAGATAGGCATTAGAAAAAAAAATTGAAAATAGAATTGATAGTCTTTTCTTAATTCTTAATGTTCTTTTAAAAGGTCAGTGGAAAGTCCATCTACCACATCTGGTGGCATTCCATGCAAAAATGAAATGTATAAATAGGTAAACATTGCTTTCATATTAGCATTGCTAATGACATGCCCACTGCAGAAAATTGAAAATAATATATAAGTAGGATGGAAATTATTCTTACAGAATCCGCTAGCTTCTTTTTTAGCTTTCTTCCCCCTCACTCTCTCCATAATTTCCAAGTAACAAGATGGTTGCCATGTTCAGATTTTGTTTAAATTATTAATCATTATTATAAATTTTTGAAATCCCAAGCTGGGAAGAGTCACTTAAAAAATTTTTATATTCTTATTATTTCCTCCCTGTCAATTTTTTTTTCTGTTCTGGAAATGGACCAATACCTTTTTCTTCATTAATATTGCTCTTTGGCTTCTCTGATACAATTTGTATTTCTCATTTTTTTTTCTGCATTCATTTTATTTTGCTTGCATTATGGATGTCACTGGTCATAGATTATTATTAGGCTGATGTGTTTCAACCAATATGCAGAGTACCTTTTTGCTGAGAGGTATGCATTAAAAAATATTATTGAAATCATTCTTATTTGCAATATAATACCAGTAAGAAAAAATGGAGTTTATAGTAAATCTAAACACCCCCCCACCCCAAAAAGACTGAAAATGAATCTGTTTGAAAAGAAAGGAATCATAGGTGTTGAAACATTTTGTATAATAAATCACAGGTGATACACATAGATATTTCCATCTAGCATTGACTTAAGATTTTTCATGTAAAAGTAATGAGAAAGGCAAGGATTTTGTTTTTTTAAGGAGTACTAATTGGATTCTAGTTCCTGCCTTTTCCAGGAATTTGCTGTGTGTCCTTGGGCAAGTCACTTAACTTTTCTGGTTTTTGGTTTCCTCATCTATAAAATGAGTGGCCTATACAAGATGACTTTTGGTCCCTTTTAACTGTAATATTATGGGAACTAGTTAACAGTAGAATTTATTTTAATTCATTCATTCATTCATTTATTCATTTATTTATTTCTTTATTTTTAGGCAGTTGGAGTTAAGTGACTTGCCCAGGGTCACACAGCTAGTAAGTGTCAAGTGTTTGGTCTGAGGCTGGATTTGGACTCAGGTACTCCTGGCTTCAGGGACAGTGCTCTATCCACTGTGCCGCCTAGCTGCCCCAGCAGTAGAATTTAAAGGACAATTCTGACAAAATATAGACAGTCATACTATTGGATCCTCAGCTAGAACAAAGGTATAAAATAGCCTTTGGTCCTTCTAAAGATTATTTTACTTAAAATATTCTTTCTTCTATTTTTCTGACCCTTTTCAGGAAGGACAGACATCTGCGATACGGTTTTCTTTCAGTTCTAGGAAAACAAAATCTTTAATAAGTTGTGTAGTATAAATCAAAAGTCCTAGGTTTAAGTCCCATCTTTGTTATTTAACTGTATATATGACCTTAGTTAGTCAGCCTAAAGATTTTTTAAGGTGATGCAGAGCCTTCTTATCTTGAAACAGCATACTTCATGTCAGTGCATGTTTAAATTGGTTTCTTTGTTTTAATAATATTTTTTCCAGATTTATAATGGCCATTAAATTTATCAAAAAGGCCTAAGCAGTTTCTTCTGTGAAACGACTCAGATAAATATGGATTTTGTAGAATGTCCTGTGAACTTTTCTTTTGTAACTACAGATACATATAATGCCCATTACCCTTTTAAGATATTATTCATTCTACAATTGAATTTCACTTGTATATGACCTAAGTTCCCTTTAAAGGGACATAGAATGCCTAATGGAAAAGGAGCATCTATTCTGTTTTACATAGTTGTTAGTGTTGGTTTTAATTAATCTGTCATTAAACAGTAATTCCCAAACACCTGCTTACTTACATAGATACCCCCTTCCTCTCCTACTCCTATTATGCTTTGTGAATTAGGGGCATAGGGAGAAAGAATTAGTATTACTTAGCTTCTAAAGGGAGTAGTTTTCATTTTGCTTAGTGAAGTAATGGAACTTTCCAGGTTCCTGGGAGCCAACAAGAGTAGCATCAGGGCAGGGCTCCTTGCCTGGCTTTCTCTTGGAGCAGTGGCGCGAGAGGAAAGAGAGCTGAAGCATGGAAGCGAAGTCCCCTGCCACTGCCGCCAGGGCTCACGTTCTCTCTGTGTGTAGGAAAGTGTATTTCTTAGATGCTCATTGTAACTGGATTTAGGCTACATCATGATATTTCGAAGAAAGAGTCCAAAGAAGAAATAATGTTCTTTAGAATAAATATGTTACTTTGGAAGATGAGTTAGATTTTGTCAATTATATGATTAAAGGCAGCTCTTGTTTTTCTGTAGGAGGGATAAAACCACTTTAAATTCCACAAGTCAAAGGAAAAAGTTTTTCTCCTTGCGTTTGGTAGTTTCTTTTAAATTTCACTTGTGTAAGATGAACCTTAGGTTTTCTCAGATAAGTTTAATTTTCTCATATTGGACAGACTTTTGCTGGTTAGGCTGTATCCCTTACACGTGTGTGCCGAGTTGACATTATGATGCATCCATGTGGAAATTATGACAAAGTAGTTTTCATGCAGATGTCCCATGGTGACAAAAAGCAGTTCACTGCATGCAAAGCAGACATACCAGTCAGAAGACAATGCATAATCTGGTCAGGAGCTTGAACCTATTGCTGCAGTTCAATGACAGAATAAAGGAAAGGGATTCATTTGAAGATGCTTGTGCATGACATATGGTAATTTCTCCATAGGAAGGAAGTGTCAAATGGTGACCTCTAAATCTAAACATTGACCCCTGTCATAGAATGTGTGTGCCATAAGGTCCTTTTCCCTTTTCATATGATAATTTTAGTCAAGGCTTGTTAGTGGTAAAATAAAATGTGTTATTTGTTTTGTCCAGTGATTTACATTAAGAATTACGCAGTTCCCAATAGTTTCTAAAGCCTTGCTTGGTTTATGTATCTTAAGAACTTTTGAAAAAAAGAAAATGCAATGAAAACAGTGCTGTGTAAATATTTTCTTGGTATAACTATACTTCATATGCATTATTTGCAAATTGGTATATATTCATTGTAGTAAATAGTTTTTAGATGTTTAAAAATAATTTGAACTGTTAAGAAATAAGCTATTAAAAAAACATATTAGCTACACTAAATGACTAGATCCTGTTCCTCCCCAGCTTAATTCAAACATTTGAGTAAATAGGATATTTTAGAGTAAGATGAAATTTTCATTTCATTTTTTACCACACTGTCATTTTTGCTATTTGAAAATTTTATTGTCTTTTCTTGATTAAGGTTAGAAGTGCTTAGAATGTTAGTGTTTTTGACTATATGTATTGTTAAATATTAAAAGTTTTGGAGTTTGATTTTTTAAATATTTTGTGATTTCTGTTTGATGAAAATATTAATTTTCCCCTAATTCTTCCTGATCTTACATTTCTGATTAAAAGATCATATTTCAGTTTTACATTCACCATAGTTTTTGGCTATTTAATTTTTTTCATTCTTCACTAATACTGAGCTATTTTTTCAGAAACAGCTGTGCCTCAATTTCTCTCCTCTTTATTTCTTCTATTTCCTCTGCAAGCTGCTGCACCTGTCGTTTCCGCTCGGTCTGATACTGATCACTCTGGTTCTGACCCTGCTCCTACTCCTGCTTTACATGCCTGTTTCTTAGTAAATGAAGGTATTTTCTCTTAAGTTTCTAAAAACTTATCCTATTCTTTCAACTTATGCTTTATCTTAGTATGACATGGTTCTTTTATCTAATTTACACATTCATCTTCTTTATTTTTGGGATTCCCACATTCCTCTTTTTTTTGTGACATTGTTTGCTAATATGTGTTAATAGTTATTATTATCATGAATTTAATCTTACTTGAAGACTTATATAAGCCAAATTACAATAAGAATTTCTACTGTGGTAGCACAAAAATGTTAAATTTATATGTGAAACAATATGAGAAAGTGTATATACAGTTGGTTTTATGTTTTTCTTTGCCACATGTTCTCTGGTTTTACAATTAGTAAATTTATTTCCTTGTGGTCTCATCACCCCAGCTAAATAGATACTTTTTGCTTTAGTTGGAGGGTGGTGTTTCTGATGAGAGATATATGGATAGTCTCTTAATTTTGTATTCACTCTTTCAAATTCTTAGATCAGTGGCTATAATCCCTTACCATTTTGTGCTGATAGGCGTCACTCTTTCCCTTTTCTGTTCCTCTTTTGCAGCTGATATAATAGCTTATAATTATATTGTACTTGATACTTTACAAAGCTCCAAAAGGGCCATTTACAGGTTTTATTATTTTTATATAGTTTGATCTAGAATAGGTAGATTAGTTGTAGGAAGAGGACAAAAATATTTTTTCTCATAATTTGTATGTTAACTGTATGATTTCTCCAAGAGCCAGGTGAGCATCATTTGCACCCTTCTACCCTCAGAACCCCAATGAAACTCTAATTGTTCCGTTCCTTTGTGGTTCTAAAATTTCACCAGCAATGTTAAATGAGTGGATGTTCAGTATCTTAGATATCACCTGTCATTTTGGACCCTTTAGTAAAAGGTAACTCAGTTAGAAACAAAGGAATACTACCCGATTTGTAACACTTTAATGGATGGTTCATAAAAATACAAAAGATTGAGGACTTACTGGTATGAATCAATTTTTGGTTTGGTATTGCTGTTTAAGATGTGGTGATAATGTCTATAAGGAGGAAATAGCAATTAATAAATTAATTGGAGTCTCCATCATAGTTCTGTTTTGAAGGTTGAAAAATCATTAGTGTTAAATGGGAAAATCGTGGTCATGTTAAAATATTGTGTAATTCTCCCCCCCCCCAAAAAAAAAATCTGGTTACAGGTTCTTGTGACATTCAAGCATATTTTTTTTCCTTACTTTTTTTTTCATCTGGCATTATGATTTCCTTGGTGTTGGGAAACTTCTGATGAAATCTGCAGCTATGCCATGATGCTTACAGGATTGCCTGGGGCACTGGGTAGGGTCACTTAGCCAGAGGGTATCAGAGGTGGGGTTTGAACCCAGATCTTTCTGACTTCAAGGCCAGCTTTCTGTCAACTATGCCAAGATACCTCTCATTTTTTTTTTTATTAATAGGTGATGATGTTTGTATCTAACCAAAAAAACCCCCAACTTGTCAGATACATGAATAGAAGGGAGAGTGTGTCCCTAATTAATTTACTTACAATTGTTTTTTGTTTACAAACATGAACTTTGTTCAGAAGCACTCCAAGTTATGGAAAAATTGTTTATGTTTCAAAACATCCATAATTACTTTTAAGACTTCTTATAGGAGTGTGAAAATTGCCCTTTTAGAGATGTTTCAAGAAATTGGCTTTAAGTAGTGCTCTTATTTTAAATAGTAAACCTGAAATGGTTGTTAGTAATATATACAATGACAGAATATGTGAATGTAATTTAATAATTCGTGGATATTTTAGTCATATAAAAGACTGATGTTTTAATAGATCATCATATATATCTTTTCAAATAACAAAGATTTTTTTTGTGAGCTAAAATGCTGAAAAATAATAATTTCTCCCTCCTCTAGTTGAACTGACTGCAGTTCATAGAATTTTTACTAGGATCTTCAATTTTTCAAATTACACTTGTTTTCAGAAATGTTTGAGTTCATTTTCCCTCCCAAAGTCGGTGCTGTGTTTACCATTTCTAATATGAATACTATCGAAGGCCTGCAAATCTAGTAGTCTAAGAAAGAGGACTGTTAGGCACCTTAAATAACAACTCCTGACACAGCAAGAATGAATTACCTTTTGCCATAGGTAACAGTCACACAGGCGGCTGTATTTAAATTTACACACACCCATTTTTTGATTGCTACATGGAGGCCCTTAAAACTCTGAAATCAGATTTAGATGTATATATTTATCAGGGTTTTAAAGCTGTTTTTTCCATGCTAACTTGGTATTTCACCTATATTTTACATTTTGGTGATGACCTACATTACATTCTGTTTTCATATTCTGAATATTATTTCATGTGGGAATTTTATTAAATAGTTGATTTTTCTTAGGATTTTATTAGTGGTCACAGGCATTAAAAACAAATATTACTTTAAAGGATTTTTGGACATTGTACAAACATTTTATATATTTTTTGAACAGAATTTCCAATATCTTTATAATGTCTCTGATGTTGGAAAAATATGCATATTACAGAACATTTCAGCAAGCCTGTATATTATTTTCTTAAAATAAACCTATTTTAGTCTTTGGTGTTCAAAGTGAAAAGATTTTTTATATAGTTTTGATATATTTCAACAGGATGGAGTCAGCTAGCTGCTATGCATTGTGTTATGCTTCCAGACCTATTGGGATTGGATAAATTTAGACCTCCACTTCTAGAAATGCTGGCTCGTAGATGGCAGGATCGATGCCTGGAGGTAATATTAAAGTTATGCAATTAGGAAACGTCCCTACTAAAATGCTATTCAGATAACTGTTTCCTGGTATCTTAAGGATATGGTGAAGTTTTAATTTCTCTAAACTCTTCTATGTATCTCTAATTAATTTGTGGAGGTATGTGGGGAGTGGCAATTTACAGTAATTTCCATATCTATATGATATAGCAAAAAGAGTGCTGGGGACTTGACTTCAAACTCTGCTTCTGATCTTTGGGCTACCTTGATCTGTGAACTGTGTTCTATAGATGATAAATTTCATAGATTTCATTTTCCTCATCAGGGGTTAGACTGTATGAATTGTTAAAATGCCTTTGTGTTAAAAAATGCAATAATCAAATCAGATTACAGCATGCTAGGAGAAAGTTTGTATTGTTTTGTGTTGATGAAATAATGTTATTAAAGATTGTTTGAAAAGGCTCAATAGCAAGAGGTTAGAAATGGTTTTGTAAAAAGCACAGTATAGTAAGTACAGTACAAGGAATACTATAGTAGGGGAAAAGAAGATCATTAGCATTTCTGTATATTACCAATGAAGTCTAGCAGGAAGAGATAGAAGGAGAAAATTCCATTTAAAATAACTGCAGAAAATACAAAATATTTGGGCATCTACCTGCCAAGACAGACTCAGGAATATATACACAATTACAAAGCAATTTTCACAAAAATAAAGAGAGATCTAAACAATTGGAGAAATATTCGTTGCTCACGGATAGGCCAAACCAAGATAATAAAAATGACAATTTTAACTAAATTAATTTACTTAGTGCCATGCCAGTCAAACTACCAAAAAACTTTGGATAAGGGAAGAGTTTATGACCACAGAAGAGATAGAGAGGATCATAGGAAGTAAAATGGATAATTTTGATTACATTAAATTATAAAGTTTTTTGCAAAAACAAAACCAATGCAACCAAGATTAGAAGGAAAGCACGAAAAAGTTTTTGTAGCAAGTTACTCTGATAAGGTCCTCATTTCTCAAATTTATAGAGAACTAAGTCAAATTTATAAAAATATAAGTCATTCCCCAATTGATTAAATGGTCAAAGGATCCAAACAGGCAATTTTCAAAAGACGAAATTGAAGCTATCTGTAGTCATATGAAAAAATGCTCTAAATCACCTTTGATTAGAGAAATGCAAATTAAGACAATTCTGAGGTACTACCTCACACCTGATTGCCTAACATGGCAGAAAAGGACCCTGATAAATATTGGAGGGGATATAGAACTGTTGGTGGAGTTGTGAACTGATCCAACTGTCCTGGAGGCAACTTGAAACTGTGCCTAAACTGCTGTTAGACTGTGCATACCTTTGACTGAGGAATACCACTGCTAGATCTACATTCCAAAGAGATTTAAAAAAAAAGGAAAAGGACCTAGATGTATAAAAATATTTATAGCAGCTCTTTCTGTGGTGGCAAAGAATTAGAAATTGAAGGGATGCCTATCAATTGAGGCATGGCTGTACAAGTTGTGGTATATGATGATAATGGAATATTATTGCGCTATGAGAAATGATGAGCGGGATGGTTTCATAACAACCTGGGAAGACTTATGTGAACTGATGCAAAATGAAGTGAGCAGAATCAGGAGAGCATTGTACACAGTGATAGCAATATTGTATAATGATCAACTGTGAATGACGTAGCTACTGTGATTATTACAGTGATCTAAGACAATTCCAAAGGACCCATGATGACAAATCATATCAACCTCCAGAGGGAGAACTGGGGAACTCTAAATGCAGATTGAAGCATAATCTTTTCACTTTCTGTTTCTTTTTCTTTTTAAACGACATGGCTAATATGGAAATATGTTTTGCATGATTTCACAGGTATAATTGATACCACATTTCTTGCCCTCTCAATGGGTGGGGATGGAGAGAGGGAGAGAATTTGGAACTCAAAATTTTAAAAAAGTGATAAAAGTAAATAAATAATATATTTATTAAAAAAAGAGAGAAATATGAGGACATGTACTTTAGAACTATTGGAGAGTTGTGGTTTAAATATTGATCCTGTTAATTTGATAAAGCATGTTGTCAACCGTTAATTTATTTAAATTTCATTTTCTATGAAATCCTTATTAAAAAAGTCTCTGGTTATTCACCAGTATTATATATACTGTACCTTGAGAGCAGGGACTGTCTTTTGTCTCTTTTTGTGTCTGCAGCACTTAGCACAGTGCCTGGCACTTAGTAAGCACTTAATATTTAGATTGATTATTGTTATTGGCTATTCCATTTAGTTTTTTTCTTTGTATAAATAATTTGGTCTACTGTATTCTTAAATTTGCTTTATTACTATAAAATGTTTTTGTACAATGATAAACCTAATCAAATTTAGTTTGGCTTCCCTTATTCTCCTAATATCTATAAGTAAACATGCTTATGTTTCCTGATTTTCTGCTTATGTTTAAATTTAGGTAAGAGAAGCAGCTCAAGCTTTACTGTTAGCCGAATTGAGAAGGATTGAACAAGGAGGACGAAAAGAAACAATTGATGCTTGGGCTCCTTATTTACCTCAATATATGGATAGTGTTATATCACGTAAGTTTTTCTCTTTTTTTTAACCTCTAAAATTTTCAGTTGATTAAAAATTACAAGCTTATGATAAGCAGAAAAATATCAAAAGCACCAAATGGCTATTTCCTTGCAAATGTCATGCAGGTCAGGTAGACTCTTCCTTCACAAGGAAGCTCAGCCATTTTTTGTTTCTTGACTTGAGTTTAAAAGCATTTACTGATGCATGTTTATATTATAAGAGAGATTGGAAACTATCACTACTCTAGAAAAGGAGAAATTTCTAAACCAATGGAGGATGATTAAATACATTAGATTTCAATACTAGGTGAATTAATTTGTCTGTCCTAAGATTATTGCAAAATTTCTCTTTGTAGAGGATTGAGAAGGTATTTTGTTTATTTGTGGATTGTATGCAAGACAAAGTTCTTGTGAGTAGATATTGTTGCATTCTTGGTACCTTGGTCCCAAGGGCCTAGAGCAGTGGCACATAGTAGTAGTTTAATAAATGCTTTTAAATTATTTTTTAAATTTAAACACTTTGTTGAGATATGTGAAGGTTCTTATATTTTAATATGAGAGATATTGACAAGTTAAAGGGAGGTTGGAGTAGAGTACAAAATCAAGAAACAATGTAGCTCAAGCTATAAAAGAGGAGAGGTAAAGTAATGAGTAGTTACTGTGGGATATAGTTAGAAAACGTTTACTTGGGGAAGACTTTTTAAGCTGTATGTTCAAGAAGTTGGTGGGAATAAATTGAGGCAAAGTGGAGTTTTCCTGGAAAAAGATTTTGAAGGTGGGAATGGGAGGCCAAATCTGTATTTGAAATGGTTTAAGGCATGGCAGGCTATCAAATTTGGGGAATAGAATAGAGGAGAGTTATGGGAGATAAAGTACAAAGGTAGGGTAGCCCCAGATTAGAGAAGACTTTGAATACTAATAAAGTTACTAGAATATTATTTGGCAGGCTTTAGGGAGTCATCAGAAGGTCTTAGTAGAGGAGCAATATAAAGTTAATTTCACTTGTGGTGTGAAGAATGAATTAGAGGGAAAACAGACTGGGTTCCAGAATACCTGTTAGGAACCTATTGGAGTAGTAATTTCCTAATCTCTTGCAGTCTGGTTTCCAATCTATCATTGAACTGAAATTGTTCTTTCCAAGATTGCTAATGTTTTCTTCATTCTTAGCAGTGCAGTAACTAGCCAACCACAATTCCCGAGTCAGACACTTAATAGTTTTGGGGTTAGATTGGTGCAAAGAGAACCTGCCTAGTTTGGTGGTAGTAGGAATAGAAAAGATAGGAATAGGTTTAAGAGATAATTAAGCAATGTGGAAAAATAGAAAGGGTGCTTTTTTGGTAGTCAGAGGACCCAAGTTTGAACCTTAGATTTGCTACTTATTATGTAAATGACCTGGGGCAAGTGATTTAACATCTAAGGGCCTCTATTTCCTTATCTCTAAAATGAAGGGGTAGAAACGGTTGAGTTCTAGGTTCCTTCTAGACATTATGAGATTTGAATTATATGAAAGTGGACTTGTGAGGACTTGGCAGCTGATTGTATGTGGAAGATGAGGGACAGGGTAAAATCATTGATGACTTGAACATGTTGTGGCTAGGTATATAATGGTTGCATTGAAGAAAATGGGGTCATAGAAAGAGGTGTTTGGAATGTGCCACAAATGTGGTGTGTAGTTCATGGGAGAGAAGGTAATAGATCTAGGGTTTTTTTTTTTAATACAGTGGTAGGATTGGCAAGAAATAGCAGCAAGTGGTGCTACTGTACCGTTAATGGGCCAAGAATTTTTGAACCCTCTTTCTCTAATTTATAACCTCCCATGAATTTGTTTATTGCAGAGTAGAGAGCCTGGGGTCAGGCAGTAACAAGATCTATAATTTAATAAAGGATAAAAAACCAAAAAACTTACTTAAATTGGTGAGGTTAGTAGGCGATCCATTTTAACTATCACACCAAATTTTAAAAGATATTGTATGTCATTCTTCAGTATTAGAATCATAGAATTTTAGAGCTGGAAAGAACCTTAGAGATTACTTATTCATTCTATTTATTATGCAGATAAGGGAACTAAAATGGTTAAGTTACTTGCCCTGACCTTAACTTTATTGGTTTCTTGAAAAGAAATATTACCAGAGCATGACCTAAGAACCAACCATGTCCCTCTCCTGCTCAAAACTTTTAGGGCCCTATTGACTATAATAAAATGTGCCCTCATTATACTGGCATGTCTCACTCCATGTTATCTTTCTAGTCTTGTTTCATACTAGATCCCTTTATAAACTTGGTGTTTGAGCAGCTTTTAATTTCCCCATGATCTTGTCTAGTACTTTCCCAACTTCTTATAGTCACATAGTCTGTACTTGGAACTGGATTCCAACTCTGGAATTCATTAGGTGTGAGACCATTTGGAGATTATTTATTCCCTGAATCTCAGTTTTCTTTTCCATAAAATGGAAATTGTTTCCATGGAGTTATGGTGAGAAAAGCATTTTCTGAAGCTGAAAACCCTGTACATTTGTGAGTTGTTGCTGGAATATATTCCTTCTTCACCTCTATATATTGAAATCTTATTTTTTCTTCAAGTTTTACCCAAGCTGTTGGCTTCTCCATGAATCATTCCTTGATCCTTACTTTGTACCTTTCCTTTGCTTCTATATTCTGCCTTGTATCACCCATATTTGTATACATGAAATTTCATGCCTGTTAGGATTGTTAAGCCCCTTGAGGGCAGGAACAATGCTCCTTTTCATTTTTGTACCCTCAATATCTAACACAGTATCTTATGTGTAAGAGATGCTTAGTAGCTATTTTTTTAATTGAATTGAATCACAACTAATGAAAAGATGTTTGAGACCTTGGAATACTGGATTTTAGAAATCTGTAACTAAGTGATGGTTTTCTCTTTTTCTTAGCAATACCCAAGCCATTCCCAAGAGTGATACGCATGAACTCTGAGCATGATAGTAGGGATGAAAGAAAAATATAGTGCTTAGATAGGCCTTTAAAAATAATTTGTGGCCAAATATAGGTCTTTGGCCATCTCTTATTTCATCTACTAACTGAGGAGAGTTAGTTAGGATTGTCTCTATGTCATGTTTCATCGAGTCCTTAGAAGTTTAAAAATTTCTGTTATAAACAATCTTCAACAAAAACAAAAAAACCTTACACAGTATGGAATAGAATCTTATGTAAAGGCTCTTTTCTGTAACAACATAGTCTCAAACAAATGACGGAAAACAAATAGTATATTGGTTCTGTGTCCCTTTCTAAGGCTCCTTTGGTTTTTTGGTTTTGTTTTTTTACATGGCTGTATTTGTTCCATATGCAGCTCTGGTTCTGTGTCTCATACTTAACCTCACTTCGTATAAGTCTTTCCATATTTTTTTGTAATCATAGTTTTTGCTTTTTATTCTACCTTTGGCCTCAGATGTTAGTAGAGAAATGCCCAAAGTTAGGCAACAAGTAATAGGGAGGAGATGTCCTAATGCAAGGAGGCAAATTTGACCTTATAGATATCAGTATAAAGAAATTCATGAACTAGGATGAAAATTGTGCCTGACTGTAGCTCTTGATGGGTATACATTATTCAAAGGAAATCAAGATAGATCAAATATGGACATGGTAATGTAATATAGTAAGATGGTATGCTCTTGTGGAAAGCCAGGGACCAAAACAGGTAAATGCAATAGAGAACATTTGGGTAAATATCAGTGAATGGAGAAAAAGTAGGTTTTGTTGTCAGAGTATATTTCAGTTATCCATGCATCTACCAGAGCTGTCTTTCTACCAAAAGCAGGGCTGCTAATGACTTTTGGCTTGACTTAGTGATATTTACATCCTTTGAAAGGAAGAGGAACCAGCAAGGGGAAATTCTCTGCTGGATCTGATTTTCTCATGCGGGGAGGCAAGAGAATACTGGTTGCTATGGTGGAAATGATATTACCTTTGGTGGAAATAACCACTACCTCCTAGAGCTTGTAGTGGAATAGGCAAGGAAAGGAATGATAAGCATTCCAGATTTTGTGAAAGCAGATTTCAGAGGATTCAAAAGAAGGATAGCTATGATCCCATCGACTAAAATGTTACAGGGAAGTTATCCCAGGAGGGATGAAAAAATCTCAAGAATTAAATTTTGAACACAAAAAAGGAAATAATTCCAATGAGAAGGAAAAATAGGCATTGTCTGAAGAGTGTGTTATGGGTGGACTTAAATTTTTTTTTTTAAGCGAGGCAGTTGGGGTTAAGTGACTTGCCTGGGGTCACACAGCTAGTAAGTGTCAAGTGTCTGGTCTGAGACTGGATTTGAACTCAGCTCCTCCTGACTCCAGGGCTGGTGCTCTATCTACTGTGCCACCTAGCTGCCCTGGACTTAAATTTTTAAAAGATAGATGTATAATAAAAGCAATGAATGAGTGTATCAGGAGACTGTAAAAATAATGTCAAAGTTCTAAGGTTTAAATTCACTGAGGCCAAGGGAAACTAAGGATAGCAAAAAAGATACATTGGGAGAAACTGGAGATAAGATTGCTACTTGGGATGCATAGGATAAGTGTAACTGACAACAGATAAAAGGCTGATGCTCAATACTTAACTTTTTTTTTCTGCCAAGGAGAATGACCTTTGCATTTGAAATGACAGAACAAAAATGACTAACAGGGAGATATACCTGAAATAAATGAACAAGATAGTAAGAAAGCACCTACCTGCTCTTTATGAATTCAAGTCACCTTGCCTGAATGTACTACATGTTGGAGTACTGAAAGAACTTGCAGGTGTAGTTGATCTGGGTAAGATGACTTGAATTCACAAAAAATTGTAAATTGATTGCTGAGCAGTTGTAAGTGATGTTCAGAAGATTGTGGAGAAAGAGAGGTTCCACCGGATTGGGAAGGGCAGATGTCCTGATTTACAAAAAAGGGGGAAGAGAACAGAATCTTCAAATTATAAGCCAGTGAACTTCAATTCTATATGCAGTTAGGTGGAACACCGGACTTTAGAGTCAAGAAGAC